ACAGGCAACTGAGATTTTGTTCATAAAATCTTTTCCTACACCAATGTCTTCAAGAGTTCTACCTAACCTCTGTTCCAGGCGATTCAGCATTTCTATTTTAATATTTAGATCTTTAATCCATTTTGATTTTATTTAGTGCATGGTGAAGATCTTGTTACTGCCATTTAAAAGTTTTAAGATCCACTTATGAAAGGTAAATATACTCCATTGAAACTCCATTGATACAAAGATAGATCTACAGACATGTCCTAGACACTAGTGTTGTAAAAGTATGTCCTAACTGAAAGGTAAATGGCTCAAAATAATTAATAACATATTGGCCAGGGTATGCTTATTTTTCAACAGAAAATAAAAAGATGTTGTGGCCATCATACCAGAACCTACCACCATGGGCCAAGAAGATGGACTTGCTGCTAGCAGCATGAAGTGACACCCCTCCTGAAAGCCATGCAAAGGCTGCATCTGAGCAACTCCCCTTGCCTGCTGCAGTCCTGGGACCTGCAAAGATCACCAGACCTGATGGACCTGCTGTTTTCAAACAGAGAAGAGGGAGATGCAATGGACTGTAATACTGATTATGCCCAAAGAAAGCTGTGAAGAGTTAACCTCACAATTGGCTTGTTTTGAGAAGTGAGTCTGGCTGAAGCCTATGTGCTGAGGTCAGAGTAACTTGCACCGAAATTCCATTCCCACAACTAAACCTTCAGATTAGAAGGACAATGTTCCAATTGCAAACATATATTTTGTCTATTCTGTTCCTAATTTAAAAATGCTTTGTCTTGTCCTTTCTGAGCCTTGTTTACATTAATTTCCATAGAAACCATATGTTGCCTTTACCCCAGTTGATTGCCTGTAAAAGTCAGTGCCTGGGACTGTCCAGGGCCTTTGTCGGTTGTACCGGCACTGGTCGTCCTGGCACCTCGCTTTCTCTCCCAGTTCTGCCTCCTAGTATATTCTTTTTCTCAGGCCTGTGTCACACACTGGACAAGTGGATACTAGAACCTGACTACAGGGGTCTTCGACATCACATCAGTGCTTTGGTAACTATAATGGTTGGTTTGGAATACTGGGTCCTATAGTTGATTGTAGATTGGGTCCACAGTAGGAATACAAAACAAATTCACTTACATGGCTTGGCTAATTCATGTCAGTCTACTCTAATTCTGTCCTTTGTAGGACATTTAGAAAAATAACTCACTTATTGGAAAAGGAAAATGTGGAAGATTAAGATAACAGGAAAAAAAAAAAACCCAAAACCAAACCAATACAAAAGTAATCTGTACTTCATGACCTTTTCTTACTTATTGTTTATGTCAAAGTTTGACCATATATGGGTGATGAAGTCATTAGACTTTCTGTATTTTTATAATGAAGATGATTTTTTCTTCCCTTATGAATTAGGTTCAAACAGAGGAATGATCACAGGCACGTATAATGGTAAGACTGATACAGAAGGTGTAGAAACAGTTAGAAAGAGATATAAGTAGAGATGATAGATATAAGTAGAGATGCCCTGTGTGGCTGATGGTTGTGTATTTTAGAAGCTTATTGTAGGCTATATATTCGAAGAAGCTAGATACGTACTTGCTATATCCTCCTAACTCCCTGACTTTTCCTCAACCCAGAAACAAAAGAGAAGCCCTGATTGGCCTAGATTACACTGATCAGTGAAATGCTTATTTTTAGAAACCAGTTTGCCCCTGTAAATATGAGCAGATTCCAGGTCTCACCTTGGGAAATTCAGTGGAATTCTTTGAGCCTTGTACGACATCCAGTTGCTTGGCAGCTATTCCCTGTATTCGCTATCTTATAAATAAACTTGCCTCGCATTACTTTTACTTCTGAGTTCCTCTTTCTGCACAGAACCTGAGTTCGTCATTCTCTGTCAGAGCCCTTTGGCTCTGAGCCAGCCTCACCTCACTTTCCCTTTTTTTGTTGTAGTGAATGTGAGAAACACGAAGATACCAGAGTGTAGGGAACAGGAGGATGATGAAGACCCCTGGCCCCTCAAAGACCACCTGCCTGATGCTACAAAGGTACTGCCTAAAGCTCAAGATCATTCCTTGGTTTCATTTATGTACATTTCTATTCTCATTAGATAGTGAACTGAAAATGAGAATGTCCTACCAATAAACGTCCTGTATCCTCTCTTCTGCAACATTGGGCTAATATGAAAACACTAGATTCAAGACTTGTGCATGGTTTTACTTCTAGCCTGGAGCTAGTGCTTTGCTTCTTGCTTTGTGCAACTTAGTTTTTGGCAATGATCTTTTTCTTCACATAGAAAGCAAGAATTATGAAATAACCACATTCGTGCTAAAGCTGATAAACCCCAGTGAGGGAGTCCAAGGATGACACTCTGGTAGTGTGTGTTCTGCATGTTCTGGCTCACGGATATGGAGGAGCTGGGAGGTAGTTGATGTGCCTCACCATAGAGTCAGTGGGGCTGAGCCTGGAGCCACCGTGCACCTCCATGACAATATCATTAGGCAGTCTGTGTGCACTCCCAGAAAGAGGGGATGGCAGCCTGCCAGAGCATCTGTGCTCATTTTCACTGAGTCACTCTGATCACTCCTAAATTCACCCACTCTTCCCTAAGCCCCTCATTTCAAAATATGTGGTATAGCTAGGAGCGCACCCTGAGTGAAATAAATAAGAATCTGCAAACTAAAAATAATAGATAATATGGTACGATAATTGTCAGCCCACTCAATCTTCTTGGGCTGTTCTCTCAGCTTTAAAATATATGTGTGTATGCCTATATATAATTTTTTCTCTCCACCATCTGCTCTAGTCCACTGAGAGCATGTCCTGCTGTGCTGCTCTGAAAACTCCCCCATGAAAACTCTCTGACATTCCTTCAGAGCCTTGGCTCAGCTCCTGTTTCTTTCCAATGCTCCTTCACTCCTATTTAGTGGATGATCATCACCATGCCCCTCTCTATGCTGTGGAGACAGCCAGACTTTTCAGTATTTGCTACTGGCATAATCAGAGAGCTATGCCAACGAGCTTGCTGTGTTGTTGAAACCAGGATTATCAGGCAAAAAAACCCAAAACATCAGAGACAAGTAAAAAATAAAATTCCAAACAAAATGAAAGTCAAAGTTGAAACTTTATTAGTCATGCAAGGAGGTAGAAAAGTTTAGCTGATGTAGCAGCTCCTCTGGAAAGCTGCCCAGGTCTCCCTATGCCACAGGCTCAGATGGGGCCTCTGTCTTCTCCATTAGCTTCCCTGTGCTCGTATCTATTATAACATTTATCACACTAATGTATTCTTGGAGATATGTTTATTTCTCCCTCACTTCTATTACAATGAACGTTTTCTGGAAGTATAAAGTCCCTTGTTTATCTTTGGTGCCAGGCACAAAATTCAAATTCATTATAGGATTTTAGAGTAAAATAAATAATGATAATAGAAGATGCTTTCATCTGTGCTACTCTCACGAAATAACTTAGACCAAATAATTTATAATGAAAAGGCTGGGAGGCTGGGAGTCCAAGATCAGGGAGAAAGGGGTGGAGAGAGAGAGAGAGGTAGAAGAAGGAGGAGGAAGAGGAGGAGGAGGAGGAGGAGGAGGAGGAGGAGGAGGAGAAAGAGGAGGAGAAGAAAAGAGAAGAAGAAGAGAAGAGATTTTCTTTTTTGTTGTAAACACCCTCCCATAAGAAGAGCATTAATTCATTCCCTCTACCTCCTGGCCTTCACTTCTCCTTAGGCCCCACCTGCTAACACTATTGCACAGGGGATTACGTTTCTCACGTGCCTTTTTGGGGAACACAATCAAACCAGAGCAAGAGACTATCTCAGTTTTCTATGTCACATGATTAAGGAAAAAAATACAGATAAAATTTACATAAGATTTTGAAATTTCACACTTGATATAATTAATGAAGCTATGATGTGAAATATAAATAAGAATGGCTCCCTATTACATATACTAAACAATAACAAGAACACAGGGCAGTGCTATATGACACTTAAATATTTCTGATGATCTAATATATTCAGATGTCTGCTCTTGATGCAAATGGATTACACAGGCATGAACACAGATTCGATTTCTTGGCTCCAAAACACTGTCGAGTAGTTGAACCAGGATTTGCTCTCACCTCCACTATTGTCTCATTTGAGTGTCTTACACTAAAAATGTATATATCACATTCAGTTCCTGAAGGACATAATCGCAATAAGTAAAATTAAGGGTATTTATAAAAATTCTTTTACGTTTTAAGAGAGTTTTTAGTGATTTTTACTTGCTAATGAAATGATCACAAAGTTACCATATATATATATATATGTGTGTGTGTATATATATATATACCATTAGATGTATGTGTATATATACCATTTTATATATATATATATACATACATATATATGTGTATATATATGCCATTATAAATGTATATTTTTTCAGCCCAGTGTGTTTACCTAAGCTTGTGGGGGGTTTTCTCTAAGAAGTACTATGAAATAAGGATGGAAAACACAGAAATTATATCCCACTCTGAGAACAGATTAATTACCACTATGATGTTTCTGCAGAAGGTGGTATATAGCTGGTTATTTAGATTTCTCCTGTTTAATCAGTGTGTGGGTGTTTCAAAGCTCTATTGTGTTCACATCTGTTCATAACTTCAAGGTGGAATACTCCAAAAAAAGCTATCTTGCATGTTGTTTTTTCTAATCAGTTTTATTAATTGTTTCCCTATTTTCAATAGAATAATTGCCAATGCTTTTCATGTAGTCTTTTAAAAAAATCTTCTTGCTCTCTTTCTTTTTTAATGTTTTAGACCATTTGGGGCTAAATATAGAATATAAATCAACTTTGCCATTATTTAGCTATTATCATGCTCACTATTTTTTTTTTTTTTTTTTTTTTTACGAAATGAACTTTAATGTTGAAAAATCTGGAATGCTACTGGTTTCATTAGAAATTATCGGCAATAGCAAAGATAGAAAAAACATTTGCTATATTCATTATATGCCAGCACTATTCTCAGCACTTTGAATACATTATTCCACTTAATGCTTGCAATAAATTTGTGAAGCAGGTACTGGGTTTTAATACTAGTTTCATAGATGAGGAAATTGAGTCACAGGATTTCATTTACTATGTTCTAGTTGTCTTTAGCATGCAAACAGTAACATTTTATAAATGTTATGAAGCTAGGTTATGTTCATATCCTACTTTTAGGTCAAGTTTTACTGTGCCTATCCAAAAGTGGCATCAACAAACTTTTTCTCTGAGAGTGACCATAATGGTCTCAGTCATTGAAAATGTCTAAATGAATAGATGTGACTATTTTCCAAAAAAAAATATTTTAAGAACAAGAAGTGGGCAGATTTGATCTATGGACTATAGCTATAGTTTGCTATGATTATATACTTTTTTTTTTTGGTACTGGGAATTGAACTTGGGTCCTTGTACTTGCGCAGCAGGCGGCAAAACCATTGAGCTAAATCTCCAGCCTTATACTTATTCTTTAGCGGAAAATAAGTTCACTTAGGTCCTAGATTTCATGAATCCTAGATTCATTTTCCATGGAGAATATTTTAGAGATCTTTGTTAGGAAATGACTTTTCTTCAAAATAAAATATTTTCTTCAAGTTTTAAATTTAGTATTTTTGTCAGTATAGTCCTAAATCTTGGAAGTAAATGTAATAAAACAAATGCAGTATTTCATCACTTGTAAGCTATATGTTTTTTAATATTTCTGTGAAATCAGAACAGGTCCTACAATTTGTATTGTCTAGGATTTGAGGAAGTTCAGAATTAGCTCCTTTTATCAAATTCTACTTTCAATAATTTTGAGTCAAAAACTACCAGAAACCCTCCTGCAGGTGAAATGCTTGTGTTTGTTACTCATTTGAAGGAGAATCAATGTATATAGTAGTAAAGAAAAAAAAGTTGAAAAGTAAGTGTAGGACTTGAGCTTGTGTCAGCAGACTTAGGGTAGAGTTTTAAAAGTAGGAGTTTGTTCTGTATATTGTCAGGAAGTGTGGGTGACTCTCTGACTGATGTTTTAAAAAATCTATTGTGGGAGATGGGGGGTATAGATCAAGCTAAGGAGTAGTTGGCAGAAGGGCAGTGGTCACCCATGTTGTTGAGGACAGGGGGATCTTTGGCTATTTACTGAGCTCGGACAATCTTTGAATTTGGTAAAGCTTCAGACCTAGTCTTTTATCTCTGCACATTAAGGTCACAGAATAATCTTGTCTGATACTGATGTTAAACAGCAGTTAGCAAGACCTTTTGATGAATGCCAAGCCAGCCTCCATATGCCAGAGGCTGGTGTTCGCCATCTCAATACACTGTTGCATTAATCAACTTATGTTGTTTCTATAAACTTTTAGTTAATATTAGAGAGCTCTATTTATAGTGCTGATTCTAAAAATTAAGGTTAATTGAATAATTAATTTTGAACTACACGGCCTAGCAAAGTGTCCTGGATAAAACAGGAATTTTGTAAACAAATCTTAAATGAACTGATTACATTTTTAAGGTAGAAAGGTTTTTTCATAGATTCTGATGCCTGAGTGGCACATAAATGTCCATGTTATAATTGGATGTGTCTAACAGACCTCTTCATCATTAGACTGGAGAATTGTTATTTTGGTAAAACACCACACATTTTTCAAACTGTTTCCTTAGTCTTGTCTAGATAATACCACCTTTAAAACAAAATAAAAATGGTTTACAATTATGCTGAAACAACTCTCAAGCATAGGATTGCTTTTGAAGAAATAAGGTAAACTCTTTATCTTAAAGAAAAATAAGCCTAAAAACTATCCAAGTAGCTATAAATTCGATACTTCTTACTGGTGACTCATTGAGTCATTTATTGCAGTCTCTATGTCAGATATTACATTATAAGGACCTGAAATATTCATTTCCAGAACTTGGAATAATAGGTGGAGAACAAAGTTAGAAGAAATAGTAAATAAAATACATGGAATTATATAAAAGGTGAATGTTTAGCACTAATAATGGTGTTATTGGAGTCATTTAACTTCTTTGACTTGCAATTTATGGTTAAG